TCGCTAAAAAACAACAATCTATTATCCCTGTTGAGAATATGCAACACAATCCTCTTCCCAACAACACAGTTCTTGAAGAACAACATACTACAACTGCAGATCCAGTTGTGCTTATATCACCCACTGTTATTGAAGAACTCACATACATGTCAAGAAACACGAGAGGGCTCTTTTGATCCAACAACAGATCAGCCGGTACAACATGTAGTTGCTTCTAACGTTCAACTATCTGCACATCTCCAACACACTTTAGAACAAGATCAGGTGAGCCAATCCTCGGAAGAGGAATGACAGGGCTATTCCAAGAGGAAGAAAAAGAATGGAGGTCAACTCCAGCTCGGGAACATTTTAGATAATACATTGGTTACCACTGGCAATGATAATCATTTTATCAACTTATTAGCTTGCTCCTTCCCCAGAACCAGAGGCAGAGGCAAAACCAAATTGGGTTGCTCTCTAGCAACCTGATACTATGTATTTCAACATTTTTAAACCTTTTATTTATGTCTCTTCTTTAATGTATTTTCTAGTTTTGGAACCCCTTGTGGTTTTGGCGTTGGCAGGGTGTCATTTTTGGGCCCTCCAACACATTGTATCTGTATCTTTCTTTCTGGTTAATATATTAGCCTTTTTTGGGCTTTCTATAATATATATATATATATATATACACGCACTTGATATTCTGCAAACAAGAAAAAGTTGTCATGGTTCAAACATATGTTCATACTAAGTTTAATCCTTTACGAGCAAGAAACAAAAACAATAGGGTTCATATCAAATATTCAAATCTCTGATTATGACCGAGTTGATAGAAGATTGTCGTCAGAAAGGGTCTATTTTCAAAATCTATTTTAAACAAATATATGAATAAATCCAACAATTATAATTCCTAAACTAGATCATTTGTAAGCGAGACAAAGTTGACAAAGTTCAAATCAATCTAATCAAATCCCTAATGATAATCGAGTAGATAAACTATTTTAACCAAAGAGATCTATTTTCAAAAATAAGTTTCAAAATCTATTTGAATAAATTCAAATAATACATATGAATCTGATCCTCTGTAAGCAGAACAGAGTTGACAAAGTTATTATTTGATCATATGTTAATAGTAATTCTAATCATTTACAAATAACAAGTAAAGTCAACAAGGTTTAAATCATGCAATCAAATTCTTGATGATGACCATGTTGACTGATAATTACAACATTAGAGGTCAACTTTTATGTCAAATTTCAAATCAAGTTTTCAAAATAACAAATTAAAATACTTAAATTAAAATCAATCACGTAATCAAACAAATAAATTAAAATGTGTAAGTTAAAATGAATCACTTAAAAGTTTAAAGCAAACTATGTCCGTCCTTCATAATATTTTGTTAAGGATAATAAATTTTTTTATTGACTTCAACTCACAAAGAGCAAATTTCACATCGAATGTAATAATATATTCAACTCAAAATAATTTGATCTCAGTAAGAACATTACTTGAGTCTTCTGTCCAAATGATTTGAGCCATAGCTCCATAAAAAATTTGTTATCACTAGAATCCTCCTATCGGGTAATTATTGTCAAGTGAAATTATTATATTACAATCACAGTCGCAGCCCGTATATTTTTCAATTGTTTTTTGCCCTTTGAGCTGTGAATCATATGGTAAATTTAATTGACACAAATCGTTCAATTAACTAAGATCAACTTAAATTTATCCTCTTAAACAAACATTTACACCAGATCTGTAGTGGTCCCTTTGACGATGCCACATATAATTGCTAATAAGAATTTTTTAGATATGTTGAGTTAATTATCTCGTCTGACTAAATAGATCAGAAATTACGACAACCCTGGACAACTTAACCATGAGATCTCAGGTTCGTCATCATTTCCCCACCATCAGTTTTATGCTCGAGAGGATAAATTTTATAACATAAACTCTGAGTTTGTTGCTATTATATGTTGAATATTTAATGTTTATTGATTAGGTTTGATCGAAATTCTTCTCACATTATTAGGAGCAATTAATCATGGGCTTGCACCTATGGGATACCTCAAACTTTATTCTATAAATTTCTCACAAAATGAGAGTGAAATCTCTTATTAGTGTCTTATTTACAATTCAATTGGTCTTCTGAAAAATTTGACCTGCAATACAATACACAAATTTCTCAAAAATAATGATAGTCCGAGGTGTCAAATTTGAACTTATGGGAAGTTAAACCGATGAGGCAAAATCACGAGGTTGGTAGGCCAAAGCAGACAATATTTCGTTGGCAGAGATATTGGGTTATTCCAAATGGTAACATAGAATTACACTAGTTAGGAAATAAAAATTAAGTGTCATACAAAACCAAATGCTACTTGAAGGGAGCCCTTTTTTGAACCTTAGATGGGATAAAGTGTTGCAAGATGGGAGTCACCTTTAGAATCCAATCTGTCTGGTTGTTGATTTTGGATTAAAAAGTTTAATGAGAACGTTAGCTACATACGTGATGAGAACGTTAGCTACATACGTAAGGGAGATTAAATCTGTCTGGTTGTTGATTTTGGATTAAAAAGTTTGATGAGAACGTTAGCTACATACGTAAGGGAGATTACGAAACCCCTCGAATATAATGAAGTTGAGCATTTAAACATTTAAGTGTCTTTTAGTGTAATAGATGAAATTTCATCATAAAATCCAAAGTTAAGTGTGCTCTAGCGAGAGTACTCACAGGATGAGTTCCCTCCGGCAAAGTTACACCAATGGGACATAACTATGAAGCCATTAGGTCAAAGCGAACAATAACTCGATGGGTGAGAACATTTAAGCTCCTTTTGCATTAATAAAATGATTTCAGTTATAGGTACACTGGTTCTAAAACTAGTCATCTTGAAGCAAAATTTATAAAAAAAATCACATTTAAACCAAAAAACAAAAAAACAAGACAAAATAAGAGCACACTGCAAAGCCTTGTTGATCCTTCTAGTTTCTTCACTTCCTTTGTGCAAGCTTAATAGGTGATGGTCAAAAGCATATCACAATGAGCCAACTAGTACCTTTCCAAGAAAATACTGGAGTACGTAAAAAGCCACCCTAATTGAAATTGGCACTATCAAACTTCCAACTGAGGTTGTCATTATATTAAGCAACAATATCTTCTTTCAATAAACTAAGTCAACCTTCCACCTTCTTCAACCTCAACTACTATTGTGCTACATCCTCCCTCTCTAGCTACTTCTTAAGAACCTTTATTTCATCAAGAAGCAAGTCATTGTGGTCAATAATTTCCCTCAGTTCCATCTCTAACAAAAAGGGCGCTTCAATTTGGGAGACTACATCCCCTTCAACTTAACAACTTGATGACCTCTATGGTGGCATCCCTTTCTTCTCACAACATTCATCTTGACTTACCTAGCCACAAGTTCAACTGCAAGAAGATGACCCAACCACTAGTAAATTATACATTAAACCTACTAGTTGATTATGGGCAATCAGAATTACATTCCAACTCCGCATTAAGATCAACTCTTCTTCATTTGAAAATAATATAATAGTTTTCGCGAATGTCATCCCAAAGAAACTCTTGTACTAACATATAAATGGCATTACCCGGTGAATGTGCACTAGTTTATGCCCTCTTATTATAACTAAATGCCCAAGGCCAAAAGATTTGGCATTGACCTTATTTTCACTTAACCTAGCTATCCTGACAATCCATACTGCTAACTGCTAAGAGAATTCCTAAATCTATTACCCATCAACATATCTAAATATAAATTGTTTTCTTTAACATCTCTTGACTAGTGCCAAACTATCGGAATCGATATCTAGCTTACCAAATCACAGAGGCATTGCACTAAGGAATCACCATTTAATCTATTTATAGAGCATGCCTATTTGCCACCGTATAATAAATGAAACTACAATCACAATGGAAAATTCTATAAATAAATCCTGATTCAACCTATTAGGTGATTTCGCACCACATCTATGCATACATACAAATACAATGAGATACTTTACTCCTTTTCAAAACTTCAAAGCATTTCTCCCCCCGAAAATGTAGTTGATAACCCATTTCTTTATTATAATGAAACTCCCTAACATCTACATGATGGATAGAAAACCAAACCACTTAAAATTCGTCGTCCCGTGATACCTCCTCCCATGATGGTAAAACTCTTTCTATCTCTCTACCTCCATCAACTCAAAAACTCTCTCTTCATATTTGACTGCTCCTTCAATGTTACACATTGTGCAATCATCATCACAAAAGAAATCAAAATTCACAATAACCTTTCAAATAAATTGCATCCTAGAGGCTTTACAAAACAAAAAAAAAACCTGCTTGAGCATTAGTTGATGCCAAAAAAATAATAATTTTGTAATCCCGTTGCAGCCCTTGATATGCACCCAAAGTAATAATGAGGCTTCTTTTTAACTGTATATGTTTCAACTACAACAATCAGACTTGCATTTTCAATAGTGAAGATTGTAAAAAAAATATATTATTTTCTTACCGGTTCATTAATTATATATATTGAAGAGGACATTGCACTGACTAATCATACTAATCCAATGGTCGGCAAAATTGAAGTGGTAAAGGCACCTCATACATAGTTTATGATGCCTAACCAGGAAAGATGGAATTTTAAAAACTATGGCTTTTCTTGCTGAAGAATATTATTATAATTTAATCTATTTCAAATTAAAGCTAGTTTACAACGTTAAACATTAACTTTAACGGTTCTTTTTAATAACCCCTCCACACTCCACACTACAATGTACTAAGATGGACAAAACAAATGATTTATTTGTAAGGAAAAAACAAGTTCAGGACTAAGTATTTCATTGAAAAATTTATAGCGTACAGTAGATTTACCCCATACCAAGGGGGCGAACACCATCAAATGCATTATAATTTCAAATCAGAAGTGATAGGTACCATCTAATAGTGGTATATAGGCATGAAGCAGCGATGACGGAAAATATAGAACGAACACAGAAGTGATAAAATCTACCTCGCTGACAGCATTCGCGACGAAATTCCTCCTTGGAACTCTGGAAGCCCTGATCGAGGACGAAGATTGAAAAGGCTCGAAGCTCCTCCGAAGAACGTGAAAATTCCTGCGAAGAGCTAAGGTTTGCGAGAGATTGCCAGTTGTAGATGGCGGCGAGTTTACTGAGCGAATCGAGGAAAAGCCCGAGAAAGCCCTAGGGTTAGACGACATAAGCGCAGTACGTGCAGCCGCCATAGTTACTGAGATCTGAGCTCTCAGTTGCGCCTCTTGCAGACGGTCGCCAGACGGGAACATCCAACTTGATCATTCTGATAAAGATAAAGAAAATATTAATTTAAATTAATTTTATAATAAAATGAGTAATTAAATAATAAATCATTGCTAGATGTAAAATATATAATAATATTGTTTACATATTTTTAATAATTTAAAAATAAAAACTTAAAATTCAATATATTTTCATTATATTTTAATCAATTATTTTTTAAAAGAGTCGGCTCACAAGATAACTGAGACTAGGTTGTCAGTTCATTAAACATGATTCACGAGCAACTCTCCCAGCTGAGCTCGAGCTGACTGACGAGATTGACTGCATAACACCCAATTCATATATATATATATATATATATATATATTCGCCTTTTAGGTTAGCTGATTTGTCTTTTATTAAAGAAATAAATTAATATTAATTTAAAATTGTGTTATAATAAATAACAATTAAAATGATAATTATGAGATAAATAATAAAAAAATATTTAATACAAAATAGCAAATACTATTTTTAGAATATTTTTAATACTTTAAAATTTTCAAATTTAATAGTTTATATTAATATTTTTAAATGAACTTGATTTGAGTCGAGCTAGCTTGAGCTTGATTTATTAATACACCGAGCTCGCACTTACCCGAGCCATACTCCATCCACAATTAAAACACTCCTAACTGAATCCCACTCACATTCCATAATTTCTTAATTACCGTGGGTCCATTTTTCTTTTTTCTTTTTTCTTTTTCCCAAAACGCCCCCACTCCTTCCCTCCATATCTATGCGAACTCTATATAGTTCCCTCTTTCCCCCCACTCATTCGTTCTTGTTTCACTCTTCTAACCCCCACTTCTCGCTCAATCGTCTGCCCTGCATCTTCTCGACCTAAAATCGCCAATCGATACCCTATTCCGGCATTCCGGCGGCGATCTTGTTGTTACACGTGCCGGCGTTTTCGTTGAGTATAAGAGTTCACATTAGGGACCGTCAGGAAATAAGGGTTTATTGCTTGGATTTCGCACTCGCTTTGATCTCCAGTTATTCTCCTCGAATACTTGTTTTTCTACTGGATTATTGGTTAGGATCTCTTCCAGCGCCATGTCCGGGGGCGGGGATGCTGGGAAGCACCTTATGAACCCTGCGGACCAGATTTCCCAGCCGCTGAAGCGTAATCTGCAGCCCTTGTCAGCCCTACAGCCGTTCGGTTTTCCAGATGAGTACCATTGGCTTTCGCCTGCGAGAAATAAACTGGCAGTCGCTGAGGTAGCGGCGGAGACTATCGGCATTACGACTCCGGTAAGTTTCATGTGGAGGTTTGTTGGTGCCAAATGAGTTGTGTTGCGCCGATTGCCTGCGTGTTTTTTTTTGGTAAATATTCCCTGCTATTTCCATTAGCCTTTTCCACTTAAGTTATAGTTTGAATAGGTTTACCTTATTTGTTCTATGAATTATGAATGTTTCGATGTAGAGAGTTCATGAAGCAAACTCCTATAATTTTTAGCTGTAGCTTCTTTCTTGAAATAGAATACATTTAGGAACTTATGCTCATAGTAAGCTGCTTTTAGATCGCATATGCGATTATCTACAGAGTAATATGAGTTTTTTTCGTGTGGTTCATTGGCCCTTTCTTAGTACTGGAAATTCCTATCCAGGGAATGCGACAGGAGACAGTATAATCTCCCTTATTGATGCATTTGATTTTTTTATGTGTCCTGGATTTGATATTTATTCTTAATTCAATGGAAGATAATGATAAATATTTTATCTATAAAATTAATATAATCACTGTCTATAAATTATGGCTTGCTACCTCATCAATCTATGTGCTTGTGGATGACACCTCAACAAGTCACATGTCTTGATTTCGTATACTATTTCATATTAAGAAATATTTCTAGAGCTTTATAAATATGGGTTAAATGTTGGAATGAAACTCTAGCACTCATGCCATAAAAATCTATTTCTTGTTGTTTATCATGGTATCGTTGCACTAAGTATCTTTCTCGGTTTATTGTCCTTTGTTTGGCACACTCTTGAACATTCTTGGTGGATCCGTTGAAGATTTGTAATTTTTCCATCATTATCATCATTTGCATTGAGTTAAAATCTCTTGAGGATTTGCCCCAAGTTTCCATATCTTGCTTGTCTGCCTAGTTGTCCCTCACTTTTAAACCCCGTAGATCTTGCGATGACCTTCATGCTGACCTCACAATAAAAGATACATGCACTTGAGGTTCATGCTGACCTCACAATAAAAGATACATGCACTTTTCATCCCGCACTAGACTTCAGCTCGCTAGTTTCATATTTGTTCATTTGCATGAGACTTCTACACATCTTATCTTCGTAGCTAGATCTATCTCGTCCTCGCCCTTAACTTCTCTGGATCATACTAGTTGAGGTTTCACTTTCCTATGCATAATATGCCCGCATGGCAACAAAACGCCTCCCATGTAGGCAGACTCTTGAATTCAAAGGTCGGATCTCTAAGTTGTTGCATGTCGATGTCGGTCAACTTTTTTTTTCGATTGATATAGATTTGAAAATATGAAATATAAAAATAATTTTTGAAATTTAATTTAAATATAAAAGATATATATAGTTTGGGTTTTGAAAGTAGGTGTTTTAATTTTTTAAAAATGAGACCAAATGGATCTCATTAGTCTGATAGTTTGCAAAATCGTGCCTGATACCGCAAATACTACACCTTCCCGAGAGATAAGTGTAGACCTCGGCGATAGACCCAATCCTGCAAACTACGAGATTTGTGACATCCATTTAGTCTGCGAACCTTTTATATATGACCGACAAATTCCCCTATCTAATACAAAGATTAAATAGGGTTTATTTTACCTGGGTTCCAAGTTCCCTATAGAGGCAAGCCCCTATAGTTAATTACATCCCAAATGACGGGAGTCACTTGAGAAAACTCTCGATAATGATCAATGGTTCTAGTCTTCAAGAATTCAAGGTT